TTACTAGACACATATTCTCCACAACTAGCGGACTGATTAATTATTGTCAAATTTTATAGTGTTTATATTTAACTAATCATCCCCATTAACGTCATCTCAAAACGTTGTTTAAACTTTCTAAAATAACACTTGTGGTTTATAAATCCGTCTTGATTTGTTACTCTAGATATCTCGATTTTTGGATTTTTAAAAATTATCATAAAAATCGTGAATAAAAATTCATACATTGATGCGGTCATCTTAAAATTATATCGAATAAATCCTAAAATGTATCAAAGATTATGACTCTTCACATGTTGTTCATAAATATATTCATATTTTTTAGAAGACAGGTGACTTAAAAAATTTATGAAAGAGGTAATTTATTTTATTGGTCAAATAAAAAACGGCTTACACCAATTTCCCGAAAATTTGAGTAGTCAGTACTGTTATTATTAGTATCATATTGCATTTATCTAAACTGATATACTTGTCCTTGCTAAAATGTTGATAATGACTTTACTTTAAGACTAAGGGTTATCACAAGAAAAAATGAAATTCGAAAAATCAAATTTTATAAATTTTTGAAATAGCTGAATTTCTATATAAATAATCTTGCACTATTTTTTTAACTGTTTAAAGAGGGATGCTTCAAAAAATATATCAATCATCTGAGAAATTTATTAGTATTAGATTAGTGTTACGTGTTACATAATAAAATTAGTATAGGTATAGTATACATATATACTAATACTAGCAAACTAGGTAAATTGTATTGAAACATACATATTAAAAAATATGTAGTATTTGTTGTGCTTCCAATATTGCGAAAGTTCGGCGTAGAAATCTTACTGATATAGATATATTTATTATTTATATTTTAACATGTATATTGATATCCAAATAATAGTATATTATGCGACAAGTGGTTGAAATAAAATTTCAACGTTGAGAGTGTTTTTTTTTTAACGAAGCGAGTTAAAAAAGGAACTCTTAACGTTGAAATTTTATCAACCACGAGTCCCATATACTACTTTTTCTACGAATTTTAAAAATAAACGTAAACAATTTAAGTTGGACGGCCCTTATAAGTGACATTTCTCCTGTCAACAAATTGTTAAAAATGTCGAATTGTTTCAAATCGCGGTAGTCCGATTACTTCAACCTCTAACTGGAGGCAACGTCAAAATAACGCATTTCAATGTCATGAGTAGAAAAATAAATATATTTTGTTATTAACAACTATTAAAACAAATATTACTTTATTTATACTTATTTTAAAGTTGAATGTAAGAACTTGATTTTTTCGATTAGAGCCATTTTTATTTGTCTTTATTTTCACAAAACATTCGTTAGTTATTATGTTAAAACACCTTGGACAATGTACAGTTGGGGACACGGAATTTCAAACGACCTGTCATTTAAATTTCGTACACTCTAAAACAGTATTTACTTGTTCATAACCAAACTTTTCATTTTTAACATATTTGTCAAAATGACATGAGTGACAAGACGGGCTAAGTATCAATTTTTGTACTCATCTGAGATCAAAACAGTTGCTGTTTAACCCTTGCTAGAGCTGGCTTATCTGATTAAAGAATGTAATACTCCGGATGTATAAGTGTTAATTTTAAATAATGGAATACAAAAAAGCTCAGTATTTAATTGCGGCCCCATTTGCGTTAACTACTTGGCGCAGTCTGCTTGGCATGGACAAAACAAGATTTCTGTGGTAACCCTGAGGTAACGCGTGCCATGCGTTGTTGATCGCAGCTATCAAATCCTCCCGTTTGAGGATTTGTAATCTTTGTTTTTTTATATTTCGAGTCAACAAGGCCCACATGTTTTCGATGGGGTTGAGATCGGGGCTCCGACTCGGCCAATCAAGGACGTTTATAATGTTATGCTCGAACCATGTTGCTACCTGATGTGACGTGTGGACAGGACAATTATCCTGTTGAAAGATGAAATTTCTATTAGGAAAGGCTGCCGTCACAGAATGTACCATCACACGTTCGAGAATATCAATATAAACCTCAATGTTTAGCCGACCTTCAAGTGCACACATTACTCCAGGATTACCTACAGAAATCCATGCCCACATGTTAACTGTGAGACGCCCGCTTCGGTCTTCCTCTTGAACATACATATTGAGGTTCATAGCGGGTATTTCTGGGCCTGTATACTCGCAGTCTACCATTCGGGCTTGACTGAAATGTTTTTTCGTCGGAAAATACTACACGGTTCCAGAAATCATTGTCATGCACAAAGTGTTCCAATGCGAAACCAAGTCTTAACTCCTTGTGCCTAGGTGTTAATCTCACTTTTCGGGCAGCCACATAGTTTCTTATCCCCGCAGTCCGTATTCGACGTCGTGCCGTTTTGGTAGACCCTGGGAAGCGAGTAGTTGCTGCGGCAGAGGCAGCTGTAGCAAAGGGTCTTCTTTTAATTTTACTAACCAAAGCCTCATCTTGAGCTAAAGTGGAAACTTGACGTCCGCCAGAACCTGGCCGTCGCACAATTGTCTGCTCCCGCCTCCACTTTTGAACGATACTATATATTGTGCTTTTTGGGATTCCCATTGCTACAGCCACCTGCCCATAGGACATCCCACTTTCAACCAAAGCTATGACTCGCGCTTTGTTAATTAAAGACTCTGCCGGCATTTTTCAAACAGCTTATAATGTCAATGTGACAGCTTTGAAAGTTCTAAAAGTGTCAATCATAATGACAATAAGGTATAGACTACAATGTATTTTTTTAAATGTCAGAAATTTGTCGTTTGAAATTCCGTGTCCCATACTGTACAATGGGGCTAGAGTGTTTCAAATTTTATTTAATAAGCATATTACAAGATACATGATAAAAACCAAGTTTAATGAAAATTATGAGAAAGTCATTATAGTAACCACTGTCCTTTGAGCTGCCGTTCCCAACTTTTTAATATCAAATAAATAGTATTTATGGACCATCGCTTACAAAAAGAGCACACTACGCAATCGGTGATTATTTAAATTTTGTAAATCAAGTTTTGTTGAATATGTAATTGTTTAATTTAAAACTCACATACATTTTCTTAAACAAATGCAGATTTGACATTTAATGGATATCAAATAATAATATGATAGGATAAACAAATTATCGGCTATTTGTCGTTTTTAAACATACAGGGTCGCTAAAAAGTATGGAAGCAGTTGAATATCGCCAGAATGGTTTGTTGAATCTTTAAAATTTGAGCTCTCCCTAGGAATACTCAAATTCTATTTTCTGCAATTTTTCAATTTTATACTTCATTTGTTTTTACGATGCAGGGCTAACTTAATTTTTTTGAAATAGCACCAGCAGTCAACTGTTCAGTTTTTAAACAGTGCATTTTTTTCTGAATTCAGAAATGTAACGCATTTGATATATTTTTTTCAATACACACTGACAAATCGTTAGCAATATTTTCAAAGCTAACTACAATGTTCTATTTTAGAATTTATTCATAATAAATAATGTATCATTTTATTTGCTGTTTTAGTTAAAACAGTATATGTATGTGTTACAGTTCTGAATTCAGAAAAAAATTTTGACTTATGATGCTATTTAAAAAAATTAATTTAGCCTTTCATCTTGAAAACAAATGAAGTTTAAAGTTTAAAAAAATTACAAAAAATAGAGCTTGAATATTTTTAAGTACATCCCAAATTTAAAGATGATCCAAGTAACCGTTCCCGAGATATTCAACTGCTTTCATAGTTTTTAACAAAGAACAAATACTTCTTAAACAAAATCACTCAGATTATTATTGCTTTTATCGTCACATGACCACATTTAACTGTTTATCTTTGACAAAATCATTTTTAAAATTTTAAATTCTTCAAATAGTGTTGCTGTCATTTGCAAAATATATTAAAATTCAGTTCAAGTATGTATATATGTTCACATGTGGCAACAACACAGATAAATTGAAAAAGCAAAAGAAAAAAGCAGAACAAATACCACTCCAATAATAAAAAGCCTATTATTATAAATTTATTATTTCTTAAATATATATGACGTTATATTTCTCAACATAAAAGATCAATAATAAGGAAAAAAACAACCAAGAATTTCATTGCACTCTATGACATTTACCTTCTACTGCAAAGGTCAATTCCCCTCCCACTTTTTGCACGAAATTTACACGAGTCAAACACCGGACTTTATACTGACTCAGTCTGATAACAATAAATAACAACTCTAAACTAAAAAATTCACGAAAAAGCAATTATTTTAATTAATTTAATCACAAATGGTACGTTAATTAATCATTTTGCTGCCAATTTATTTCCAGGCGTATAATTACAAAATAAGGATAAGCTTGCAAATGAAAAACACAATTACAAAGTCATTTGTAGCAGGCACCAATTCAATTAAGCACTTGTCATAAAATTTTTCCGAACGGAGTAAAATTAGCAATTGAAAACTTCCTTCATTAGGTACTTGGCTTATTAAGGGCGACGTATAAACATCTCACGCAAATGCAAATTTTCTCAAAATGTAGGCATTTACAGCTTTACCATGTATGTCCATAACAATAAATCTCCATAATAAATTGTAAATACCTCTTGCGACAAGCCACACCGCATAGAACTAAAGCTAACATTTATGCCGAAAACACACTTTCTAGCCTCCCTTCATAGAAAAAAAACATAAATCGCCGCTTACTCCTCGCAAGTGACCAACGTCCAGACGTCGTAATTAAATCCGGACCTGAGTCACCGCATGCGCGATAACGATCAGAAAAACATTCCATTCCGGAAACTACCAATCCGGGCAGGCAAGGGTTCCCAGAAAGAGGCCAACGTGACTCCGGGCAAATGCTCCGTCTGATTGGTCAATGACACCCCGTTAACAGCCAATCGCATTACATCTCCGCACCAAACCAAACCCCGGAGTCAATAATGAAACGTACGAGCAACAAGTTTAGTTTAGCACGGCTATTGTTGTGGCCACACTGATTTTGGGTCCTTCGAGGGTATTAGGGAAGACGGAAATGACCATTTGGGATTTGACACTGATAGACATTTTCATTGAATGAAGGCTCCCTGAAGGGAGTTTCATTCAGGTTAGTCGGTTTATCGAACAAAGGGCTCGGACCTGCGTCTTGCATAAGTTGACCCTTTTATGGTTCAGGTTAGTGACCTTTGTGGAATTTTGTGACATTAATTACGTGTGAACGCGGCAAGACGCCGGTAGTGCATGAGCGGAGTCCGACAAGGCAGCAGCAATGGTGAGTGAACGCTTTAATTATTCTCTAATTAAGTGTGCTAAGAATAGAATGGTACTTTTAGTATTTATTTGTGCATTATAATTTAGGAGTATAACAAAAATAACAAAAAATTTAAGGTTGCTTATATTATCCCGGCGCATCCACCAGTTTGTCTATTAAAAACATTTAGTTGCTAAATGCACTTTATAATTTGCTTATTATAATACTTGACACATAATTATTTACAACTTGATACAATATGCAAATGAACTTTTCACAAAGAAAAATCACACAGGTGCTAATCTGATATCTGCGATAAAATCTTGAAGTTTTTGGTTTAAACTTATCTTAACAGTTTCCTCTATTTTGTTAGCTAGGTATTTTTTACACCACACTAATCAGATTAAGTGTTGAATAACCTCATTTAATATAACAATGTGAGCTGTAAGTCTATATGGTTAAAATAAATTTCAAGCTTTCAGTTTTTTGTTTGTTACTAAACATATACCTTAAATACCATAAAAATGAATTTTAATACTTTATCTGTAAAAAAGTGAAGCTGTAGTATTTATCGGAAGTAAATCATGTCGTGAGTGACAATAATTTTTATGATTCTCATGGTTTTTTATGTAATTAATATTACGAATAAGAAGTCAGAATTTGTGTCATCTGTCAAGACTTATTTATTATACTTAGTTTATGACCTCCTTCTCACCTTACAATATGTTAATACTGCTCCCTTTTGATACAGCAGATGTAGACATATTGTTAACATTATAGCTTTTGTATTTTGCTTGTTCATGCATGAAAAGTGATCCTAGATAAACGACAATGTTCTAAATATTCATACTTGTCACGAGTGGATTTGAATAATTAAATGATTGTTTTTTTATATTTGTTTCGACTTATAACAATAGAGCAATAAAAACACGTTTAAAGACACCGATGCATTTTTGAAAGCTTATCTTTGATCGTTTCAAGTCAAACTTTCAAACTGACGGTAATCTAATAAGACAAAAATTCAATCGAAGACAAATCTTCAAAAATACATAGCTGCCGCTCATAGTGATTTTTTATAAGATGAGAACACTTAATGACCGGTATATTCCTGTTCAAATACAAAAACTTATTCCTTGGAATGGTAGATTAGTACAACACTTAACTTAATTGTACATTGTTCAAAGAGAAGTACCATTTCCAATCCATTTTTCTAAATTAAAAATGTGTTTTCGTAACAAGCTAAGATTTCTAGTTATAAAGTCTGTCGTCTGTTCAATACTATTGGTATTCGAACTAACCTTGAACGGGAAATCGTGTATTTGTAATAACTTACTACTCAAATTTCCACTCAATTGCATTACTACTTAATACACTAACTAATTAAAAAAAAAATGTATCACTTATCTTATCACTATTATCCATAGCATATAACTTTACATTTATTTTTCATTCATTTTGTTTGTTTTATCACCTCTGTTTCCTTAGCTTTTATTGTGTTTTATTTGTTAATATATGTATGTCAATTTTTAATTCTTGAACGTAAGTAGCATCCATTTGATGAATGCCTAATTTTTCGATGACATTTCATATTTGCTGCAATGTCGAAAAATAATGTTCTTGTTTGTCTCTGTCATATGTCATCTACAGTAATTTTATTAAGCAAGTAATTTCCGAAAGTATTGGAAAAATTATTGTGAAATTGTAAGAATGTTGTCGAGATCGTAAAATGTTATCCAAAGTTTGTCTAATGATTCCCATCAACAATTCATCACGTTATTTCAAAAATTTTGCTAAATACATTCTGTCTACACTGCGCAAATTAATATGGTTTATTGATTCAGCCTCACTTTATCTTCGAAGTTGTACAATAAAAGTTTAAAATTTATCTCAGAAATAATATTACGCCAGCATTTTACACACATTTTAAGTTTATTTTAACTTGGTAATTTTTTAATTAGAATATTTCTGTGCATTTCTTTCAAAAATTTGATGACGTCATCACAAAATTTGGCAAAGTTATCTCATTAGAAATGTTAATAGCATTCTTCTGCACATGTAGTGGCTTAATTTTCTTCTATTTTTAGAACTGGTATACAGATATTTGTTTTACTGATCAAAAACTGCTTATCTCATTTTTTTGAAATTGTGGTTTATGAATCCGTGTTCAGTTTTTATCCTAGGCACCCAGATTTAAAAAAATATATCAAAATTGTGTAAGAACATTTTTCAATTTAATTTTGGAAGCGGAAGACTTAATGGTTCGAAATTTCACAAACGTTAGCATCCGTAATGAAATTCTGTCTCCCCCTGCCCTCAAATTGATGACCTCATCGCCAAATTTTACCCGATAAGTACTTACAGCCCATCTAAAAATTGCAAGACATGAGTTTATCATATTTTTTATGGATCAAATCAAGGATGAATTATTCCATTTTCTCGAAAATTTGCGAATACAGTAATGTTCCGCCCACCTATGTTTAATAATAATAATAATAATCATCATCAGAACGTTTTTCTCTGTTGTAGCATAATTAAGAATTTTAGTCACCTCCTCTCTTTTGAAGAGACAAAATCACTCAAATCAGTCAGCTTGTTACTAGCTTAATCGTCACATTCTTTAGATATATATATATATATATATATAAACAAAATAATCGAAGTTAAGCATGTACCTACTGGTAATACATTTTCCTCGTTACAAAATCAAATTTTGTAATTTTTCGGAGAACCGGGATTTGTTCGAATATACTTCAGGGGCGAGTGTAGATCTATCGAAATAATTTTCAACCATTTTTTTGGTTTAATTTTAACGTTTCACAAATTACGGTTATATTATCGAAATGCAGAATAACTTCGTTCGCCTATTGAACTATTTTTGCACTGTCTGCTTGATCTGTGCCCGATGAAAATTTAAAAAATCACTAGGGCAAGATATTTGAAAAAATGAGTATCAGTTCATCCTCTCCGAAAATTTGAAGACGTCATCTCAAAATTGTTTAAATAAATCCATTACTAGGGTTTTTTTTTTATTTTCGTAATACAATAATAAAGATTAATTTTAACTAAAATATATTACTTTATCGTTTTCATATGGTCAATTTTTTGTGAAAATACACCTTGAGAAACGCTATTGCTTGTACTTCTGTAATATACTGGGTGATTAATAAATTTTGGTTTTCGGATTTATCTATCTCGAAGTGATTTGTCTAACACAAAATGTAATTATTTAATTTAATTTAAATTACATTTAATATGATTTTCTCTAAAAATTACTATCACCTTTTTTGAAACGGAGAATTATAATTTTTTTAAATTTTAACCGGCAAAGTTTTGTCTTGTCTTCACAATGCTTCCATGCAGAGTAATGTTATGATTAGTGTTACATTGATCATATCAATATAATTTCTTTAAGACCCGGTTTATAGAAAGAGAATTAAAGTTAATTCGCGATTAACTTTTAAGTGAGGTCCGTTCCTAGGCAACATGCATGTTTTAACCAATCACGAGCTCATATTCTATATTTGAATTCTCTTTTAAATGAATCGACGATTAAATATTTCATTCGCTTTCTATAAACCGGCCCTAAGTCTAATAAACATTTCACAACTTCATTTCAAAAATTATTAAATAGATCTCTTTTAAAATATACTCCATTAAGAAAAAGAAAAATCTTCTGAATTGTATTATCTTATCCTATGTGTTTTCTTTCTATTTGTATTAACTTTTTTTGCTATTTTGCTTCTTTTTTAAAATTAACTCCCATATCCGGCACTGAATTGTTCTGTTTTTGCAAATTTGCAAGTTTTCTCTCAGATTTATTATAATATACGTCTCGCCAGTTTCCTTTAACTTTGTTTAACGTTTACTTTTTTATTTTTTATTTCCATTATTTTCTACTTTTTAAATAGTTTCTAACTTCGAAATTCCACAAAATCTGAGTCTAAATTTTGATCTACAGCTGACCGACTATTACGCCATCCACGCTGGTACACCCCTGATGTCACGTTCTTCAAAGGTACTAATCTGTTTTTATGCAACTTACTGCTATATTTTATAATTTTAACGGTACTATTCCTGAATAATAATTATTGTTACAATATTCCATTTTCAGTTATTTTTTATTTGTTAACAGGATTCACAATGATCTGCTGTAACTCTTGCAGAATTTTCCCACATTTACAAATATTTTCGTCAAAAAAATGCCACTTTTTGCCAATTTTTCTTTGCTAACCCTGTAATTTTCCATTTTCGTTTTTTATTTCCACATATTGCTGTTCTTTCTTTTTAACTTTTTTTGATTTTAGCAGTATTTTGACTGTGTCTGAAAAGTCGTTTTCTTGACCTGAGCTTGCTTAAAACAATCTTTTTCTGTTTTCATCATGATCCTTTGCTTATCCAACAAACTATTTTTTATTTTACTAATGCTTTTTCTATCTTAATAAAAGCAAAAAAAATAAAAAACTAGAATGCGAAATGTTTACATTGTCCTCCAAAACTTTCTCAAATTCTTTTTCTTGGGGCCAGCTTTTCAATTCTAATTTTATATCTTCTTTTTCAATGCTTTTATCTTTCGCAAAATCGATTAATAATGTCATTTTACGCATTTTAAATATTTGAGACTACATCATCAATTTTTTGAAGGAAAAAGTAGATAAATCGCAAATCTTGATTCAGCCAAATTTGTACTTTTAAACCCTACGCGTTAAAATAAAATAAAATCTAGTGATCAAACTAACTACTACTACTAATCAATAAAATCTGTGATGTTGTAAAATAGTGGTTGAGGATAAATACTTAAATTTTAATATGGATAGTTTAATATTAATATCAACAATATTGTGCTCCTAGAATTTCCGCAAATTAAATAAAATTATTTAGTCACTAATTTTCTTTCAAAATTTTGTGAAAACAATTATAAAACATTTAAATATACAGAATGATCAAAAATGGCGGATAAGCTCGATAATACGTTAAGAAGACTCTCAAGAACTCGAAAAAATGGTTTAAAAAAATCCCTGCACCAAATTTTAGAAAATATTACACTTCAAAATTGAAGAATTAAAATCGTAATTATGATTTATTTTAATGATTCCTTGTCTAATAAACGATTAAATAATCAGTTATTAATAATTGAATAATAATTTGCTAGAATACCATAACATCATCTTTTTACTGCTGTCAGATGTCATTTTTGACAATTTTTATCGGAATTTTAGACTGCCAATTAAATTCACATTAAAACATATCAGAATTATGAAGTTAATTCTTCAATTTTGAAATTTAATATTTTCAAAGATTTAGTGCAGGGTTCTTTTAATCGTTTTTTTTTTGAGTTCTTTAAAGCCTTATTAACAACGTACCACTGAAATTATCCGTCACTTTTTGATCACCCTGTATAACCTAAATGAAAAAAATACTGAGTCTTCGAACATATTTTTAGTGGGAATAATATTTTTGTAACCACGTCGTCACATTTTTTGAGAGGATAAACAGAAAAATTTTAGTCGACGTTTTATAAGCCCTAGATTAAGCTTAACGGACAAAAATACTGAAATTCTACAAACGCCACAGTTTCTAGCTTGAAAGAACAAGCTTACGAACTGTACTAACACTGTAAATCTGATGCATGTTTGGTGTCGATCAAGTGGCGCAAACATGTATTTTTTTAAACAGTCATCTATATTTTTGATAGTAGATTTTTATTGAGCAATCTTTTATATTATTGTAATCGTAATTTAATGTTCATACAAAATCCGCCAAAAAACATATTAGTTGCAATTTAAAACAAACATAGGTTTGTTTTACATTATATTCGGAGTGTATTAAATTAACGATCCGCCTTCAAGCTAAAAACAACGGAGTTTACAGAATTGCAATATTTATATCCGCGCTCAGAACATAAGGCCGTGGAATTTAGTCTAGGACACTCTATATACAAAATAGTCTTAAAGTCCATTTAAAATTTCGGAATAATTAGTCACGTATCTTCCGAAATGACTTATAACATTTTCATATTGACATAAACAATCACCAAATTAATATTAAAATAGCTTACACTGGGAAAGTACTAATTCCGAAGATTAAAATAATAAAATAACTCCTTAGAATGAATTTAAAAACACTCGGGAACTAACAATATGAATAATTATTTACATAAATTAAAGAAAACCCTAAAATTTTGTCTTATCTTTTCCACCCCTTCAGGCTTATCTTTCTTTGCAGTCAGTGGCTCCGTCCCGCGTCGGTAGCCGCATGCAACAGTACGAAGACGGAGTCAACGACGACGCTGCCAACACAGCAGATGGCGCCATCGACGGCTCCGGTGGCGGCGGCGGCGGCGAAGACATCGCATCACCAACGCCGCGCAGCGATAAGCCACCGAACTCCGTCAGTGCTCCCTTGGCGATAGCTGGAAACGGCGCGCACCTCAAGAACGACGACTCCGACGAAGACGACGGCGAGGAGGACGCCGACCAGCACCCCAACGGGGGCTACTGGCGGCAGGCGGCCGCCTCCAGACCGCAGAGCCCCGCCATGGACAACGGCAGCGAGGCTTCCATGATGCCACCGGCGAGGCCGAAGAGCCGCGTGGACAGCAGGTACAACAACCTGTCGTACTGGAAGGCCCGCAGGGTGCTGTTCTACAAGAATGGGGACCCTTTCTTCCCGGGGGTGGAGCTGAGGTTCAAACCGGGACGGGATATCGTGAGTTTGGAGGCGCTACTGGACAAGTTGTCGCTACGCATGGACTTGCCACGTGGTGCGAGGTATATCTTCTCGATGGACGGGGACAGGAAGTATAGGTTGGATGAGTTGGAGGATGGGGCGTCGTACGTGGTTTCGTCATACAAGGCTTTCAAGGTAAGGAGTTTGTGGAAATCGTTAGTTGCAGTGGCACGTGGCGGCTTCAAGGAAAGATTTTTTCCTTGAATTTTCTGGGGGTAATTAATGAATCATGGCGGAAATTATGGCGACGGTGTAATGTCGATGTTTTTGAGTGGAAAGTGCTTGATAAATCTCGACACGTAATTATAATGTATGGATATTATATGTATGTATGCTACGACTGTATGGAATTAACGGTGTTGAGGGTCCCTGGAGGAATATTTTAAAAAAGGGTAGGGAGATGATGCCGATATGTATGGCGTAATGGATTTCAACAATAGTGATTATTTCGTTACTTGCAAATTTAAATATTGTTTCTTTTTTTAATATCTTCACATTTTTCAAATTTTTGAATTCTGCGGCCAATATCACGATTTTGTGATTATGTTTAACAGGTGCGTGTTAATAACCTGTTGCTACATAAACATTCCTCCAAATATGCACTAATTTCTCTCGATGGTTTTATATCCGAAATTGAATCATATGGTTTTTAATCAAACTATCAAATTTTCTCTTGCGTTAACTTCTGTTTAAGTTTAATCAAATTTCAGTCACCAATTTTTCGACCAATAAGACTTCTGCGCTTATTTAAAACGGACCAGTCATATCCAGGAAATCTCTTTTTATGTAATAGCTTATTTTTTGACTTTTTACAAAAACAATGATTGTCTACGACTGCTTTAAAAGCAGTCTAGCAGTTTATGATATATCTCAAAAATTTCACTTCCATAGAGTTCATTTATATATACGTTAAAAATACATATGTAATCATAGGAGAATACACTGTGTATATTGTTATTTAGGGTATTCCATTTATCTGGGGGCGGATGACTACGGGATTATCGCAGGCTAGGGAAACAATTTTTGACGCAATCTAACCCTTGTTGTGTTACAACCCTATATATTTTTAAAGATTTAAATTCCGTGGTAAAATATTAATAAAAATTATATCAGACACTTAGACTTTTTAATCAACAGTATTTAAAACATTTGCATACTCGTCTGAAAAAATTTGTCTAAAGAGTTTAGACAGTACTTCCCTCGCTGTCGCAAACGTGACGTCATCAATTTTTTAGGGGGGGATCAGGAAATATCTTTTGACTAAAAATTTACCATGCCTATGATAACTGTAAAACATCTCCAAGATTTCAAAGCCTTCGGTTTTGTAGTTCCTGATTAAATAAATAAAATGCATTCACGCATTCATTAATTTTTTTGAGTCACCCTGTATATGCAAATCCAAAAACTATGAATGGAATGATAAATTACAAGTATAGAATCATCATTTTGTACACTATAGATAGGATTTATTCGGCAAACTTTTCAGGTGACGTCATTAATTTTTTGGAGGGGACAAGTAAATAGATTTTGAATAAAAACTTATCATGCTTATCATAACTGTAAAGCATCTGCAACATTTCAAAGCATTCGGTTTTGCAGATTCCAAATTAAATATCAAAATGTTGTTTCTTAATTTCGATTTTTTTTCCAAAAATCTGGATGTTTCTGGTGAAAACTCAATTCGGAGTCATAAACTACATATGTAAGACTATGTTATTTGATACAATTTAAAACCCATTTACTATGTACAATTTTGAAGTGACATTAGTGGTGGGGATGATTAGACAAATTTTGGTTAGCGTGTTATCATCTACATGATATACCTAATATAAATACAAAATTTGACAACAATCGGCCTCGTACTTTCGGAGATTATATTATATAAAAATCCGGGACGGCAGACAAACGGACAGACATACGCAAATGTCTATTTCTTCGTGCTCATGATAGGCCGAGAAAATGCAAAAGTAGAGAGCCGGCCGATAGACTCGATTACAATAATTCCTTTCCTTACGTTGGATGAAGTAAAAACGATTAGTTTTAAAATTGTCAATTCCGCTATATTTAGATGTGGAGGCATACAATTTTAAGACTTTTTAAATATATATATCTATATAAATTTATAAAAATTTGAAGAATGTTTTGGTTTATTTATACAAAGTGATTCAATTTGCAAATCGTCAGTTTTCTTATATTATTCAAATAAAGCTGCCTGTATTTTCACATTTTCGAGCTTGTCTTTACGTAAGCATTTTTACTACCGAATTTGGCAAAGTTTATTTTGATAAGTTTTTTAGAATCATTGTAAACGGTCGAAGGCTATTTCGACAGAAATTCCCACGTCCCTGAAGTATAACAGAACAAATCCAACTTTTTCAAAAAATTATAAAATTGGATTATGCGATTTTATTTTTTATGACAACCCTTTAAGTTAAAATAAAGATATGAATGTAACCGTAAAGAACCGTGTTCCGCATACGTTTCAAAAGAGTTTCCGCTTAACAAAATTTTGTGATGACATCATCAACATTTTTGCAAAGACATATATCACTTTGGATAAGTACAGCGTAATACTAATGATATTAATTGTATTCCCAAATTTTCGGGAAAATGGAATGAGTCGTTCCCAATTTAATCAATAAAATGCATTCATTAATTTTTATGAGCAAATGTATAAGCAATTTTAAAACTTTTAATGCAATGATAAATTTTTGAGGGGGATAAGAGATTTATTTTGATTAAACATTTACTATGACGATAAGTTTAAAACGTCTGCAAGATTTCAAATCTTTCGATTGTGCAGTTCCTGATTTAATCTATAAAATAAACTGACTTTTTCATTAACTTTTTGAGTCACCCTGTATCGGTAATTCTAAAATTTATGAGTGCGTTGAAAAACCCAAGTATACAGTCATAATATTTTGCATATTTCAGAGAGGATTTTTTGGCCAAAATTTTGAGATGACGTCATCAATTTTTTTGGAGGTAATAACCTAATAAATTTTGCTTAACGATTTATGATAATTACGATAACCTTAAAATATTTACAATATTCAGAGCATTCGGTTTTGCAGTTTCAAACTTAAATTGCAAAACATTGTTATGTAGTTTTTAACTTTTTTTTCCAAAAATCTGGATGCCTAGGGTAAAATTTGACAGGGATTCACACCCCATAAGTATAGGATTATCTTATTTTACAAAATTTAAAAATTTACTACCATAAATTTTGGAGATGACGTCATCCCATTGGTGGTGGGGATGGTTAGCCAAATTTTTGTTAGCGATTAACCATCTACATGATATTCCTAATATACATAGAAAATTTGGCAACAATCGGTCCGGTAGTTTCGGAGATTACGTTTCTAATAAAAATGGATACAGACGCCAGACGCTCAGAAAGTAACAAATTCAAATACAGGATGTCTTAGTGAGATGTTAGTTACCTGGTTGCTAAGCTTAAGCACATAAGCGAAACACAATCAATGGGATGGCCTGTACTGATGAAATCCAACACGAACGAAACTGCAGTCTACAGCTTCCCAGCGGGTTGTCTAGCCTTCGGTGTGATTAAACACTTTACAGGATGTCTTATTTGAAACACATGAAAAAACTTTGTGCACTTGTGGGGTTGTAAATGGACTACTTTTACATGTAAGGTGAATATATTTTGAAAATTATTACTTAGTTGGCTAAGAAAAATATCTAACATTCTTCATAAAAATCTAACTCTGAAAAATTATGCAGTGTGGTTCGATTAAAAAATACAAATTTGTTATAGGATCTTCCGTAAAAAAGAAGTTGTAGCACTAAATGAACTATTAGAATTCTTCAGATAACGTTTTCAGTTGCCCATTATAAATGCATTTTTTTGCAGCTACCACCGTTGGAACGCCCTATACATCTTTTATACAACTTTTCACAGTTAGATATGTAAAAAATGTAAATTTTTCACTGACTGTTAATCTCACAAATGACAACTGTAATCAAAATAGGAAGAACCATTTCAGTGTTTTTCTGGTTTTTTCCAAAATCTCAGGGGAAATCAATGGAGCGATCCTTAATTTATTACCGAAGAAATCAAAATGGTTTAAAAAAAAGTTGGTCTGAGGTTATTTAGACATACATACAAAAGAGCAAATTCAGTGTTTTTTTTCAAAAATTATAAATTTTTTAAATTGCAATATTTTATTCATTTTATGACAACCATGTAAGTAAAGAATATGTAAATAATATGTCACAATATGTTTCGACCCCACACAGGCGGCAGAGCACGAGTCCGAAATCCAAGCCACGAGCCAAATATGAGCGAGCTGTAATTGTGATAAAAATGAAAGGAGATTCATCAACCACGATTATAAAAATATATTGTTTTAAAAAAATTGATAACAATTGTGATCAGACAGACAGATACATGGACAACAGATGACAGACAGAAACGGAAGACCTATTTCTCGTACTCTTGGTGTCATGCCAGTCGTCCGATGGACTCGATTACAGCTTATACTAGGGAATTAAAAAAAACAAAGATTGCTTCGTCTCTGTGATTAAAGAACTAACTTCTCACTGAACCGACTCGATACTGACGAAATAAAATATTTTCAAATTGATGACGCTGTTAAAACTAAGTAGATAATAATAAAACATCTTCCGTTGACTCTCTCATTTATACTTTGATATCTAGATTCACATTCGTCTTTTAATGGACGATAAGTAGGTTTCGATTAGTTTCGGCAATGGAAACAGCGTCTTCAAATTTATCTTTTTGCTTGTCATTCTAAAAAAATTAACTGTAATATTCATTGGAAGTAACTTTTCTCAAATGCGTTTCGTATTTCTGTATGTTCTAATTTCTGTATCAATATGATAAAGATCTGCGAACTAAACATAAAATATTAAAAAACATGTTTTATAAGGTCCACACGAGTTTAAGTTTGTAAAACGAGTCAGTTGCTGCGACAAATTTTTTCATCTGTGCGTAATGAAATGTTTTAAGTTTCCCATGTTACAAAAAAATAAACAATCGGTCTACCGAGGAAGAAATAAAAAACCGATAAGAGATGGCCATAGATTTTTGAAAATTGATCTTTGATAGAATTTTCGTATTGTCAGATTACCATTAATGTGAAAGTTTGATT